GGATATTTTTAAAATAACTCTTCCATCGTCAGATAGTTTTAATTCAAAGAAAGTAACAAAGAGGCAAGTATTGTCAAAAATTGCACAAATGTTTGATCTAATGGGATTTGTAGGTCCAGTTGTGATTGTGGCAAAAATATTGATGCAAGAGATTTGGATAAGTAAGGTTGATTGGGATGATGAACTTCCAGGTTCTGTTGTTGAAAAATGGAAAATGTTTTCAGGGAATCTTCATTATTTATCTGGGTTGGAAATTCCTAGGTGGCTATTTGAATCAAATAAGATTTCAGAAATGCAGATTCATGGATTTTCGGACGCCTCTATAATGGCATACGGTTGTTGTGTGTATATTAGAACTTTGTATTTCGATGGCAAGATTTCGTGTAATCTTTTATGTGCAAAGTCTAGAGTAGCGCCTATAAAAACAAAAAGTTTGGCTAAACTTGAACTTTGTGGAGCTTTATTGTTGGCAAAATTGGTACATAGGGTTTTGAGTACAATTACAGTAAATATTAAAATTTCGAAAGTCTATTTGTGGTCCGATTCTGAGATTGTGTTGGGTTGGCTAAGTTCACTTCCAAATTGTTGGACTACATTTGTAGCAAATAGAATAGCGGAAATTCAGGAACTGAGCACAAATATGAAATGGAATCACTTTAAGTCTAAAGAAAATCCTGCAGATGTTATATCTCGAGGAACATCAGCATGCGAAATTCTATCTAATGAATTGTGGTGGCATGGGCCAGAATTTTTGATAAAATTGGAGGAAAATTTTTTTGAGGTGAAAAGGGTTAGTGTTGATAATTTGCCAGAGGAGAGGAAGGTTGTAGTTCTGTCTCAGGTTTTGTTGAAAACTCCAATTGAATGGGAAAGGTTCTCCAATTTTAATCGATTACAACGAACCGTAGCATATAATTTAAAGTTTATCAGGGTGCTTAAAAAAGAAAAGCTATCGGGTCCATTGACAGTACAGGAACTAAAAAATGTGTTAGGAAAAATTGTAAGATTGGTTCAGAATGAATGTTTCAGTACAGAAATTGAAAATTTGAAGGCAAATTCTGGTTTTGGGAATATTGAATTAAAGGATAGTAAAATTAAGTGTTTGAATCCATTTTTAGATGATCAAGGAATATTGAGAGTGAATGGTAGATTGGCCAAGGCATACATTGATTATGATCAAAAATTTCCAATTTTGTTACCAGTTAAACATCACGTTAATAAATTACTAATTCGTTTAGAACATAAAAAGCTATTTCATGCAGGACCTCAGGCTGTTTTAGCAAATTTAAGACTTCGTTATTGGCCAATTCATGGTATGGTACAGGTGAAAAGAATTATTAAAGAATGTGTAAAATGTCATAGATTTAAAGCTCAAACCTTTGTTCAACAAATGGGGTCTCTTCCACTTGATAGGGTGTCAATATCTCGACCATTTTCCAAGGTTGGAATTGATTTTGGGGGTCCCGTTATGATTAAACAAGCAAGAATTAGGGGTTCAACTGGCACTAAAGCATATATTGCGTTAATTGTATGTATGGCCACGAAAGCTGTACATATAGAACTAGTCAGTAGTTTGAGCACTGAAGCATTTTTAAACACTTTAAAACGATTTGTAGCTAGGCGTGGATGTCCAGTTATAATTTATAGTGACAATGCCACAAACTTTCAGGGGGCAAATAATGCTTTAAAAGAAATTTATTTGTTTTTTAAAGACAAGGCTAACATGGACACAGTTAATAATTTTTTAACAGGACAAGAAATTAATTGGCGATTCATTCCGCCACTCAGTCCTCATTGGGGAGGGTTATGGGAAGCGGGAATTAAGTCAACAAAATTTCATATAAGAAGAATAATGGGCAATTTAGTATTAACATTCGAGGAAATGTCAACGGTTTTAGCACAAGTGGAAGCTATTTTGAATTCAAGGCCGTTGTGTCCTACATCAACAGATGTAGGTGATTTAGGCTGTTTGACGCCCGCCCATTTCTTGATCGGGGAACCTTTAACTTCATTCCCTGAGGTAGACGTGTCCAACGTACCCGATAATAGGTTAAAGTTTTGGCAATTGGTATCAAAGGTGAAACATAATTTTTGGAAAAGGTGGTCCACAGAGTACCTTAGTAGGTTGCAAAATAGACCCAAATGGTTTGCAACCGTAAATAATATAGAGCCAGGTATGATGGTGTTAATAAAGGAAGACGGCGTGCCACCTCTCAACTGGTTACTGGCAAGAATAGTAGAAGTTATGCCAGGGGTTGATAAAAGGGTTAGGGTAGTAAAAGTAAAGACAAAGGGAGGAGTGTATACACGTTCGGTAACCAAGTTGTGTCCTTTACCATTCAGCTGTTGAAGCGTATGCTTCAAGGGGGGGAGGATGTTGGGAGTTGAAATCAAAATTATCAATGTTTCTGGTATCACTGACAGGCAAACCTATATGGGCTTGCCTTTGAGTGTAATCGATGCCTTATTGGAAAAACCTGCCATCATCTCATCCCATCGCATTATGTTTTTGTTGTTAGGTATACCTTTATTCGTTTGTCGAGAAACCATAGAGAATAAAAAAATTATTATTGTAAAAAAAAAATATATGAGGAAGCTGCTCCATGTAATCACCGGAAGTATTTTATAGAAAATGAAGTTAAATAGAAGTTCAATCAAATGTTGTTGGATTTTAATTGGAACCAATTGGAGTGAGAAGCAATTTTTAGGTGAATTTTAGGGAAATGGCAGGGTTGGCTGCTATTTGGGATACAGTCCACTGATAAAGATTTGGAGGCTCCAACAATGCCAAATATAGAAATCTTCTATTTTTTTTATCGCGAATGACAGTTCGATGGCCATCAGTCAGCCAGTGTTACCAACCTCCGATAAGTAAAAAAGGAGTGTCACAAAGAGCTTCTTTTCGAAACTACTTTTAGTGTCGAAAAGACTTCGATATGACACCAAAATAGAAAAACAATATTATGAATATGTCATTAATCCGGTAAGCCATATAATAAACCTTATATTTAAATCAGGATGTGTTCCCAGAGTTTTAAAACTCCTGTTGTTTGGTACTCCTGTCTACAAAGCAGATGATAAAACAAAAATAACAATTTACCGCCCAATCAGTGTTATAACAAACAAATTTTGCAAAAATATTTGAAAAATGGAGGGATTCTCTAATTGTTTATCCGTTAATAACATTGTGTCCAAGAATCAATTCGGTTTTCGTAACGGCATTAGTACTACTGCTGACGCCATTCTTAAAGTTACAAGAACTATCACAAAACATCTGGATGGAGGTAGAAAATGTCTGGCAGCTTTTCTCGATCTTACGAAGGCTTTTGACACCGTACCCCATGATTATCTTCCTGATGTTTTGAACAGCTATGGAATCAGAGGTGTTATGCCGGAAGTCTTCAGAGTCTATCTGACAGGTCGAGAACAGATGACAAAAATCGATAATCTGTATGTACAAGGTGCTTCAAATTCGAGACACATCATTGGCATCTCGAAAACGGTGAGAGATACAGGGTTGGTTAAATAAGGGCAAAGTTGCGTAATTTGATGCTTAACAAAATGCCGCTTTGATATTTAAGATATTCCGAATACTTACGGAGATTTCCGGAAACAACTGAAATTTTGCAAAATTGTTTTTATTTTTAGGAAATTATAGGGTGGGCTAAAAAAAATCGGAATTTTATTTTTGAGCTGTAACTTTTTATGTTATCGAGCAATTTCCTTTTGTTTTGGCTTTTTTGAAAGAGAATTGAACAGGCTAACGAATAAAAGTGAAACTTTTGACATTTGAGAAAAATTCGAAATGGCCGACCTCTTCATAAATTAAATTTAGATAGCGCTGGAACTTTTTTATGACCCCTTGTATAACCTTTTCTGACAAATTCCTAAATTCCATCATTTTGCGAACATTTTAAGACCTCGACAGGAAAAATCGGTTAAAACTAAGTGAATTATTGAATTTTTTGTAATATCGAATGCATCTTTTCATATCCAAAGCTAAGTAATTTTTGAAGAAGTCCGCTAATTTGGATTTTTTCTCAAATTTCAAAAGTTTTACTTTGATTCTCTTCCAAACAAGCAAGAACCAAAGGAAATTGGTCAACAACAAAAAAAGTTACAGCTCAAAAACAAAATTCCGTTTTTAGATCCCACCCTATACATAATACATATATTCAGATAAAAGTTATGTTCGCTATTCACATTTAAACAAAAGCTCATATTCTTCTGCATTAATTTTTAATCATTGCACATAAAGTCTCACATAAGACTCTGCTAACGGTGATTACATACTTTGTCCTAATGCTTCACTTTGCAGTCTGATACAATCAACTGCCTCAAACTTATAATTTGTTTCTCAAGTTGCTCCATTCCTTCAATCTCGTTTTAAAAATATTTGTCCAAGAACTCGGTTTTCTCATATCGATCTTTCAATGTCGTCCAAATTATAGTTTTATCTGGATTTATATTTAGTTGAACGAGCATTAAAGCATTGGACGACTAAGGGCTATCATCTACCTATAGATTCAATCCAATATTTTTAATGCATTTTTTTTTAAGAATGATAAATCGTTAATATGTTGAATTGTTTGTTGTGAATTTATGTCTTTTCTCATGTGGCCATTATCAAAGAACGCTGTAAGATAGAGAATAAATTCACATTGTTATTGTTTCAAACTACCCCAAACTAAATTAATTTATTTTTCTTTGAAAACAGAATGCCTTCGACCCTAAACTCAATATCCTACCCCCCTCACTATTTTGCTCTAATTTGCTCATTGTTTATTTTGCCGCATCAAGTGTACCGCATCACCGGAAGCAGCTGCTTTGCGTTTTAAGGTACAAATGCCGTTTCTAATGTTTTTGAGGGTGGAGGATTCGCCCTCTATGACCCTAAATGAATCAATCTACACCACCGTGACAGCCTGAAATAATTATGGGACTATTACAGATCCATACTCTTCAAATTTTTCATTTTCAGTAAATATGTAATTTCTCACCTCTAACAATAATTTTTTTAGGCTCGTCCTTCGGCGACGTCTTCCGATGTCCATTGAAATGTTCCGTATTGGCATTTCGGTCGGTTCTCACCAGCTCGCCCAAAAAATTAATATAACCGATGGCCAACTTCAAAGTGTCCACTTTGGACAATCGTTTTTCGTAGGGCAACGTCGGTATGTGGGCTCTGAGCCCTTCGAAGGCGTCGTTTATGGATTGCATACGTTTTCTTTCTCGCAGGTTGGCGGCCTGTCTCTGTTGGATTTGTTGTTGAGGGCATTTATTTTTTCTTCTGTGTCGATGGATTCGTCTGAAATTGAAGAACAAATAATATAGAATTGAAAACTTGTTAAAAATCGAAAATGCCTAAGGAGGAACCATTGTCAATGTTTTGTCATTTTTGTCAATCACTATTGTCTTTGTCAATACAATGAAAATTTAAGTGTAATCGTTCTCTCAAAATCACCTTCTGTATTTTTTTTTTGTGATTTAGTATGTACCCTATTCAATCTTCTTTATCGAATGAAGTTTGCAAGAACACGCCAGCAAAAAAAGCTGCGCCAAAAAAGAATGATGACTCAGATTTTTCGTTGTCGTTGTTAAAATATCTTCTGAAAAAACTTCTACTCAGAATCCGAAAAATGTCTCCAAATCAACAAACCTTGTTGTCAGCTGCATCTGGATGGTTATTGGGAATTTTAGCAGTAAAAATTGGCAGAACCCTAGCCCTAGCTGCTGGTGGAGGATTGATTCTATTACAAATCGCTTGTAACAATGGATATATTTCGATAAACTGGAACCAAGTGAATCGCAGCTTTGAACTGGAACCTGGAAATAATTGTGATGCCAGGATTTCCGATTTCTTGTCAAGATATGGATTGTGTCGGAAGAGTACAAAACCAAATTGGATTAGAACATTCGCCATGCGAAATATGACTTTGTCGGTTGGATTTTTGGGAGGATTTCTTATTGGTTTATCAACCTATTGAAAATATGAATTTCTTTCAATATACGTAAACGAGATTTCTGTTGTCTTTTTTTCTGTTTTCGGTCTTCTTAGTTTTTTTTTTTTTTTTTCTGTTTCCGATATTTTTTTTTTCTTTAATAAAAATGCTGCAAGCTTGTCCTGTTATTCTTGTTTTTCTTTCTGTCTTCTTCCTTCTTGTATTCGATATTTTCCAATGAAATTTGACCAACTTGCGCCATTTCAGTTGTTTCCTTTCGTGTATCTATATATATAAAAATTAATGCCACTTTTCGTTGTAATTTTATAACTCAAGAACGGGCTCACCTAGCCAAACCAAATGTTTAGGTTTTGTTCGGACTATTTATTAGATGGTTTATGTGAAGTTTGCACAAAATCGGTCGAGCGGTTCTTCATTTATCACATTTTTTGTAATAAATGAATTATTCAATAAATGGAGGATCATTTTGTTAATGGGGATTTTGCTGTCAAATTGAAACTTTTTTCAGCGTTGACATGTTGTTATGTCATTAATGTGGTCATTTCATAATGTACTTATTTTATTCATTTATGAAAAAAAATTACTAAGCCCGCATACGGCGCCATCTCTTATAACCGATACCAAGTTTATTTTGTATTTTGTATACCTTGCCATCTCTGATACCTGGAACGAAGCTCGGCATTGCAGATACAGTAGAACAATGCTGCTCAGGAACTGGAGCTTTTTCGAACAGAACTATTCCACTATTCCGATCAGATAGAGTGGTGCAGAAAGAGTAGATCAGATAGAGTAGTGCAGATAGATTAGAACAGATGGAGTAATGCAGTGCATGCAGTGCAGAAAGAGTGAAACAGGGCTGCACTAGAGATTTTTTTTGTTTTCTTTACATTCTTTGAACATTCCTGTGCCTGAGTTTATTTATTTGGTGGTACACTTTACAAGAATAATGCCCACAAGCTGCCTAAAAAAGGATGATGTAAAATTTTAATTTTAGGTGACTTCTGATCCAGAGAGTAAACATTAATTTTCTTCAACCAAAGCCAAATTCACCATCGAAAAAAACTTAATTTAATTCAGCTAATAGATACGTTAACACAATATTTAATAGGTATTTAATAATTCAGATGCGGTACGAAGTTCGCCGGGTCAGCTAGTTTACTATATATCTTTCTTGAAACAATTCTCTTATCTGAGTTAATCAAATGTTGGCAGATTTTAACAACAATCGGAAACTGTAAGAAAAATAAGAAAAGGAAGACCGAAGACAGGAATAAAGGCAAGAAGAAAACCAAAGGCAAGAAAAAGAAGCCCAAAGACAGGAAGAAAAACAAGAAAAGCAGGACAGAACAGAATGGATTCGAACCGTAACAGTAAAGTACTCTATTATTTAGGTAAGATGGTAATTGCGAGCGGTCGTATTTGATGTTAATTATTTTATTTTCTTGGACAGCTATTGTAAAATAAAATTGTGGGGCCGGGTCTATTTGCATGTGAAAGAAACAACTGATGTACAGGGTGTTTTCTTATATTTTGACACCTACCTACAGCTTTAGCTATACGAGGTGGAAAAAAAACTTTAAATATGAAAGTTATAGGTTTTATGTCTATTATCTTTTGCGAATGTCAAAATGGGCAAATGACAGGTGCCAACTGTCACAATGACAAACCAAATGGAACACCTTGTATATTTTTGGCTAGAATGATAGATTTTTTTTTCTTCTGAATCCAAATATACCATATATGTTGATATTTGGTTCAGCTGTTTTTACGCTATTCAAGTTTAAAAATGCATTTAGTCTAAACTTTGCTTACATCAATGATGAGGCTTGCTCAATGCAATTTTAAAATTAAATAGCGCAAAAACAACTTAGCCAAATATCAACATATTTGCTATATTTGGAATCAGAAGAAGAAAAGCTATCATTCTAGCAAAAAATATACAGGGTGTTCCATTTGAAAAATGCAAGTGTTTGTCATTGTGACAGTTGGCACCTGTCATTTGCCCGTTTTGACATTCGCAAAAGATAATAGATACAAAACCCTACAACTTTCCTTTTTGAATTTTTTTTCCACCTCGTATAGCTGAAGCTGTAGATAGGGGTCAAAATATAAGGAAACACCCTGTACGGTTATCCATTAATAAACATACTTTTTCTGCGATTGACAAGAAATGTCAGCATTTTTGACCAGTTGACAGGTCGCAGAACCCAATATTTTGGTATTTTAATTATGTTTCTCGATTTTGATGTGAGAATTTCATTATTCCCGCACGCAAAATCATTGAAGAATGAAGCTCATTCTTCAACGATTTTTAGTGACATTTAGTTTTCAAAGTATACCCATTGGTACCTTCAAAATTGTCAAACCTTTCAAAATAATGAAATCTATCTGTCAGTTGGTTGGTAAGTAAGTGTCACCAACTGATATATTTTGCAAAAAAAAAAATTTCTACCTAACAGCGGCCACAAATTTTTGTTAAAAAATGAAAAATAAAATCCAAAATCGAGAAAATAGTATAAAACTCACCTTGCAGAAGGCTATATGGCCTTCTGCAACTTGAATTTTAATATAGTATTCAATAGTTGCTAAGGAATTGATGAATAACAATACGGGAATCACTTTTCCGGCCTAGGCCGGGAAAGTGATTCTAGTACTGCTGTACAATTGGGACAAAAAGACAAACATTTAACAGATATTTAACCAATCGCTTAAAAAATAGTATGTGTATTTCGGTGGAAAAGCACATTCTCGGCCTTTGGTGTTTGCCGGCCTCGGCTACGCCCCGTCCGTCAACTTACACCGTCGGCCGAGAATGTGTCACTTTTCCACCTCAAATACACAATATACTATTATTAATAAGAAAATAAACAGAGCTTTTCAATCCAAGACCTTTCTAAAACAAAAATAAACAATTCTAAATAATGCTGACTTACAGCTACCTCTATACTGTCTATGAGCTTGTAAATAAAATGTTACAATCAAAAGCCTTGTACTAACTTGACATAACAACACTATTTCAAATCCATATTAAGCATTTAATTTAGATTTTTTTTAAATCAGATAGAGTCCAAAATATTTAATTAAGTATAATCATTATTTCAATCTTCATTAATTTTCTTCATTAGACAGAGCTCACAGATTCAACCGTCATTAAAATTTTCTATTTATACTAAACAAAACAAAAAAAAATATTGAAAAGTTCACTAAAGTCAACAATATATTTGCGAAGTCCTATTGTCAATTCACTTAAATTCATAGTTATATTAATCATTGATAAAGTCAGATAAACATGTCACTAGAGTAATTACATTAAAATTTCGCCCCTAAAGTCACTTAATTATTCTAATTATTATTTACTTCAAATAGCTAGAGCACGCACATAATGTTGAAGGAATTTAAATGTTTTTTGTTTATATGACTTCTTTACTTTTTCAAAAGATCCGATTTAGCGAGTTTTCCCGAGGCAACAAAATAAAAGAAACTCTTCGCAAATTTTATCCGGACTGACTCATTAATCTCAACTAATTGATCGCGACTGCTTGATTAATGTAGACTCATGACTCAAGACTCCAAGCTGAACTGATCTGAAGTGAACTGAAGACTGAACTGATTCCAAAATTCCAAAACCGCGGTTTTTATATTTTTCGATCCCCCCAAAATTTCGGGTCATGTATGTTCATTAACACGGTGATGGACAGAACATCTAATTTTCATCGATGTTATGTGACACAACGTCTATAGACGACATTTTAAAAATAACGAGTTGTGACACAACGACGGTAGACGTCGGCTCTCACATACAAATTCTACACGAACAAATTTATACTGTGACCACCACACGCACAGAGAAATATAGGTTACTGTCACCGCATTTTGAAATTTGGCCACTTAGAAGTAGCGGAGGTGGGTAACATATGTCTGGTCGACACGACGTCAGTAGACGTACAACGTGTTCAATAAACTGGTCAATTGAATAAGGTGTATACGGATATTTGCATATAAAAAGTAGATAATTTTTACATAAGAATTTCTGGTGTAATAGAGATTAAAAATACCTCAAACGGGCGTATTATTTCGTATATTTGTTGATGATTATTCTAGAATAAGTAATGAGGTTATGTACAAAAAATATTTGACGCGCGTTTCGAAAATTGTCTGTGAAGTCGATAAACGTTATGTCACATTACATCTACTGATACATATGTAATATGACACGACGTCCATGGTCGTCGTCCAAATATTTACAATTTTTTTGTTGAAAAACTGCTTTTTTGCATTATCTATATGAGCTGAAAGAAATTCGGCACTTTCCCTATTCTACTTTGCAAAATACATAGAGTGTCAT